CGTCTTTGTGGTATAACATTTCCAGGGGAGTTGTGGTGGTGACCTACAAACACCATCACAGGAAATAAGCTATTTATAATCACTGTCCTAAAAAAACATCTCTCTCTCCTTCTGATCTTTTGGAGATCAACAAATGTTGCTGTAGCATTCAGTGAGCCAGGCCAAGGAGGTAACTGAGTCAATGTTGTTATTTGACCCTGTTAGTGCTCTTAGGGGTTTGGGTGTCACACATCATGCCAGGCTTGTTTATTTGGATGCTCTGTGTTCATGCTGTAAGAATACCATCCAACAGCCGATGCCCCTAATGAGCTCAGTGTTACAAGAAAGAGACTATGGTGACTCCCAGTGTCTTGAACTAGTCATAAGAAAGACTCCACCCTTCCCTCAGGCTAATCCCCAGGGAGGTAGACACTTCCCTCGATTGAGGAGTTAGCTGTGAGTTGTTCCCTGGTAGTTGGGCCTCTAAGCTAGTCCTTTCTCATAAAATATGGTGGCAGCAGAAGTAGCTTTGCCTAGTAGCCTAGTGTTTGGGGCACTCGTATAAGAGACCCAAATTAAACTCTCCTCTCCTCAAGGGACCTGAAGCCCTGGTACTGCTATACTATATTCCTACCACCTGGGAGGGGGGAAGAGGATGGAGTGTGCCTTCACCCCAACTTCTGTATAGCTGACAGGGCTCCCAGCCACAGGGGAGACCCTGCTACATGATGACTCTGAAAGTCTTGCTAAGCTGAGGCCTACGCACAAACGTTAAAATACAAATACTGATGCTTATTGCATAAGGCAAGAGGATACGAGTTTGCAGCTAGGCCATCTGAGAAAGAAATAATAAGGTATCACTTCCAGCTTATTTTACTATATTTATGATGGTTTTAAGCAGGTTCCTAATTGCCTGGTATGTAATAATGGGAAACGTCTATCCTTGATTAACTAGTATGGTAAATATTTCTCTTAACTCATGTTATGTGCAGGAAGAGTCAGTCTCCATATGTGATAGTTGTGTCCTCCGGATTTATTTCTTTTTTGCTGTTTCCTCCTGATTTACTTTTCTTTTGTCTTGTGGTTCCCTTGATTTTCCAAGGCCACTCTTCAAAACCTTGTATTTCCCCTGATTGTTAATTAGTTCCTTGAAATGTTACCAGCTTAGTAGTAATTTATTCTAATTGAAACTTTCTGATAACCAATAATGAGCAGTTTGATTAACAGGATGTTCCTGTCAGTTATTGCTTGGGAGTTGGGACTCACTCTTGATTTACACAACTACAAGAATGCTTTGAAGATGTTGAGCTAAAAGGTATAAGAGGAGGAACAAAACAGCTAATAAGGCGCCTGCTTCAAGAATGAAAGATCTCTCTGACAAGGACCACTGCTGCACCGTGGCCATCTCAAAAAGCTGAAAGAAACAGTCTCTTTTGTTGCCTGCTTAGTGAGAAATTATCACATTATAGCTAAATACTGGACTTGGCTTTGGTGTGGGCTCATTTAACCTTGAGTACTTTTAGTAAATAAAGTCTTTCTGTCATTTATCGAATGGGATGTTGTGTCAGTACTCTGACACCAGTCCAGGACCCCATGTTTGTATTTGCTAACACTACATGTGCAAATTAAAGTTCAGTAGCAACTAGCTATAAAGTCAGTACACACATCTTTGAGGTCTAACTTTATACCTGGTTGGAGCTTTTTATCATTTGATAGCTACTTTGCACATGCAACTGGTCTTACACTAATTGTGCAATTACCCAGTTAATTGGGCGATACTTGTAACATAGAGAGGGGGGCCCAGGACAGATATTGCTCACTGCATCCAATAGTTTGGTTTATCCTCATTGTTCACTGTAAGGTCCTAGGTGGTTTTTACTGCAAATCCTGCTCAGAAGAAAGAATGTTCTATTTCCATATAGGCTTTTCTATGCAGCCATTACAATACGATCTGAGAGTCTCACACATTAGTGAATTTATCTTCACAAAAGTTCTGTGACTTGATGAAGATTATATTGTCCTCAATTTCTATATAGGGAACTGAGGGACAAAGTTAAGCATAAAAATTATGCCCTGATATTGGCAGCCTACTCTTAGAGGCCTAGGACCCAATTTTTCAGCATACTTAGTGTTACGTAGCATTGATCAATTTAAGCACATCTGATGTGTAGTCATGGAATCATTGATCATTTAGTCTAACTTCCTGAATAGATACAGGCCTCACTCTTCCTAAATTATCCTAAACAGACATCTATCCAGCCTCCCCTTAAAACTCTTGAATAAAAGTGATTCTACAACTTCCCTGAGAAGCTTATTCTGCTGTCTGGTTACTCTCTTTACAGTTAGGAACCTTTCCCTGAAATTTAAATGAAATCTGCTGTGCTGAAGTTAAACCCATTGTCATGTGTCCAGTCCTCTGTAGCAGTGGAAAATGATGTTTTTCTACCTTTTCTGACAGCCTTTCAAACATTGGAAAATTGCCAGTCATGGTTCTCCTTTTCTCCAAATGAAATATACTTAGTTCCTTCAACCATACCATGAAACTGTTGTTTCTCTTCCTGAAATCCCTGACTTCAATCGATATACATTTTTTCAACTTCAACCATAACTATGATGGGTTTCCCACAACTAGCATCCTCCTTTACTACAGAACCACACTTATTTTGCAGGTGTGTCCCTAGAAGAGTCCTATCCTGTGTGCTGAGGGAGGCAGAGGTCCTATGGAGAAAATGCGTTCCCATAATTAAAGTTAGCATTGTAATGCATATTCTACAAAGGGGCTAAACTGAGGCTGCCCAGGCTACTGGTGCTTGCTAGATCTCAATTGATCACTGGCCAATTAACCAATTAGGACTTTTCTGAACTGACTTCTTTTATCACATGATTTATCAAATGATGGGGGGAAAGTTTGGACAACCTGGAGACAGCAAGCATAACCCCACACATCACACCCTCTTACTAGACAGCCAGACGTTCACTTTCCGTACTTCCTCCATAAACTTATCTCAGCTGCTTTAATCTTCTTTCATAACCAAGCCAGTTTTGAAGCTCTGCTTTATTCCCCTGCTGCTAAATATGGTTCTCTCCAATATCCACCTGGTTTAGGAGGGAGGTTTTTCTTATTATTTCCCACGCATCTGCTCGGTGGGGGTAGTACAGGACTCTGGAGCTTCTAAGTTGCTTTTCACAAAGCACTGCAGGCATACCTATTCCTAGACCAGCAGCTCCCAAACTCTGACAAATTGTGCACCATCAATTTAAAACAATACATCCGTAAGTACCACCAGCACATTTTTCAGTTCAACCTTAAGGACCACCAGCAAATTTTTGTCATATAAAGTAATTATAATGAGTCTGTTAATGCATACTGCTGACAGGTTGTCTGCGTACCACTGGTGGTACACATACCGCAGATTGGGGACCACTGTCCTAGACTATCTCTGACCAATGCTCTTCTTGAAAACCTGGAATGATGGAGATTGCACAGCTTCCCCAGGCAGTCTGTTCCACTGCCTCACTTTTCTAACCGGGAAGAAGTTTATCCCAATAGCCAATCCAAAACTGAAATCTACTCTATTGTGCCTTCAGGCCATTGTCCTTATTTTCCTGGGACTCTGGTTTATAAAGAAGGGTGCTTGAGTACTACCAAGTGGCAGGAAAAGTTAGCTTATCAGAAGTGGGTATGGGAATTCCCTTGGGAATTCATTGTAGCTCTCAGGCTGTCAAAAAATACATAGCGGCCAAGTAATGTGTAGGGTATGGTCCTGCTCATAGATTCATAGATGTTAGGGGTTGGAAGGGACCTTACAAGATCATTGGGTCCAGCCTCCTGCACTTAGGCAGGAAAGATTGCTGGGTTAGATGACCCTAGCAAGACGGGGCATGTGTAGATGAAACAGGGGCCCTAAATTGAAGCAGTGGGTTTTTAAAAACACTGCTTCAATTTAGAGCCCTTTAACCCCCCATGTGGTGCACACCCTGGCTTGCCTGCCTCTCCAGCGGCAGGGAGGGGAGGGCAAGCTGCTGGCAGGCGGAGCAGTCTGTGGGCTGCGAGGGGGGCGGAGGGCTGGTTCTTCCCTCTGTGGCAGTGGCGCCCCCGACCTGCGGCATCTGCCTGCAGGCACCCAGCTCAAGCAGTCCCAGGGGAAGTACCAAGCCCCTGCACAGCTCATGCATGCAGGCAGGCTCCAGGGGGGGAAAAAGTTCAGGCTCACCACTTTTCTTGGGCAAAGCCTGCCTTCCCAGGCTGCTGCAGGTCTTCCTGCAGAGCCCCTGAGCTGCATGGAGCCTGGTGATTTGCTCTGCAGCTGTAGGGGCAGCAAACTAAAACGCCCTGGAGGAGTTTTGGTTTGCTGCACGCCAAGTCATTTAAGGCGCATTACACTGCCGAATTCCATACATCGGCTGGAATTAATGTGCAATACGCTGCTGACCCATACAAACACGGACACCTTTAAAGCAGTGCAAAAGGATTTAGCTTGCTTTAGGTGTCGTGCACACATGCCTGTCTTTTCATCTACACACTTTGTGAAGATCGCCAGGGTAGCTGATTGTACCACCTCTGGGGCGAGTCTGTTCCAGACCCCCAGCACTCGACTTGTAAAGAAGTTTTTCCTTATGCCCAATTGTAACAGGGCACCAGATACAGTGCCTGTTATGGGGCAAAAGGGGATGTGCCATCACAAGCAAAGAAAACTTACCCGCACAGATGGGCTAAGTTTTGCCTCTTTAAATTTAGGCACCCAGCAGGGCTTCCCTCAGTTCTACATCAAAGCAAAAATGGCAGAAGAATTTTGTTACAGGTGCTTTCTTTTTAGATCTTGTTGCGTGAGCCCAGCTGATGGAGTTTCCCTTAGCAGAGCAGGCAAGCTCTTTAGGGGTGGAGTCTGTTCTCTTTCTATCTGTAAATGTTGATTCCCTGCCAGCCTCTTTGAGTTTGGATGATATACACCTAATCATGTGGAGAAACCAGGAGCATTAATAAATTCCCTCTGGTAAAACACTGTGAAGCCCTCAGGGGAAGGTGCTTGAGAAGTCTGTCATAGACTGATAGAATTGGTAGGGACCTCCTCTAAGCCAACACCCTGCCCAGATGCAGGATGCACTATTGCCATACTCTCCCAGACAGCTGCATATTAGGGCTGTGCGAAGCTTTGGGTGGTGATTCGATTCAGGGGAGATTCAGCCCAATTCAGTGGCTGAATCTCTGAATCTGAATTGAATCAGGGGACCAATTTAAAGGTCTGAATCAATTCAAAGCTCTCCGAATCTTCGGAAAAGATTTGGAGAGCTTTGATGATTCGGGCGGTCCCTGGTGGCTGCAGCAAGGAGCTGCAGCCAGACTCAGCTGGTAAGTACTAGGGGTGGGGGAGGGGGAGCTGGGGGAGGAGACCATGGGGGGACCCTTGCCCCCCCGCTCCCTCAGTGCCCCTCATGGCTGCCCTCACCCACCCCTGCTCCCTGTACTTTAAAAAAAAGCCCCAGTGCTCTCCAGGTGCTGCTGGGGAAAGGGCAATCTCTGCTGCCCACACTGCCCCACGCTGCATGGGGGGCTCTGCCATGAGCCCCCCCGACCCTCCCCCCTTGCTCTCCCAGCCCCCGCATGGGTGCCCCGCCTGATGCGGCTCCAGCCCTTTAATAAAAAAAAAGCTGAGAAAAGCCCTGGGACTTACCAGTCCTGCGTGGCCTCAGGGGTTCGGGGGCTCGTGCAGTGCCCTCCATGTGGCACGGGGCAGTGGGGCTTGCCCCCCAC